CGAATGATATATATTAATCAGGAGTATAAGAAATACCCCAAATTGCAACTACAACTATCAAGAAAAATCTTCAAATAAAACCCACTTTAAGCCCAGATCCTGCATCTAAGAACTGTCAATTTTGTACATGAAACAGCAAAAATTAAGAGCAGTGAAATCATCCCACATCTCGCTGCCACCTTTGATATATCTTCCTATTTTGACGATGTTGAGTAATGGCTGCCCTGCACTCCCTCGGCCTTGAGACCCATTCTTGATAAGAGAAACCACACCCTTTCTCTTTATTTTTAAGCCATAAAAATGATTTATGTTGTATATACTCCAAAACTAACTCCTCAGACATCAACTCTGTTCCAAATACCTGCCTATTCCTCCAAAACCACATAAACCAAACAACAATCAGAAAAATGAAAGCCCCTAATTCCGCCAAACAACCACCACTAATACCATGCGTCACAAACTCTGCCACACCAAAAATGTCTTTCGACAAAACCCCCTGTAATCCCCACCATTGCAACACCTTCATCCACACTAACCAAGCTCTTTTACACTCACAAAAAATATGATTTACTTGATCCACTCCCTCCCCACATAATCCACAACTCACATCCCCCCCCAGCAGTGTAATCCCTCTCCTATATAGGTTAACCTTAGTTGCCAACCTATCCAAAAATAATCGCCAACCAAAAACGCTCACTTTAGATGGAGCAAACTTACACCAAATGATTCTCACCCATTTCGCATCCAAAAGATCATCTTTAGGAGCTAAAAAACCATATGCATCCTTTACAGAATAAACACCATCAGTGCTATGAGCCCATCTCCATAAATCATCTTTATTCTCCTTTACCTTGATCCTATTAATAATCTCCCTAAACCTTTCTTCCTCCTCACCAACCCTCCCGGAACAGCTTCGTCGCCATCTACAATCCCATACCCAGGTACCCTCACTCCAAAAACCCATATCCTTCAAAAGCCCCCCCTTGGTCAACGATAACGCATACAATCTCGGAAATAAATCCTTTAACGGTCTATCACCAACCCACCTATCATCCCAAAAAGCCACTCGGCTTCCGTCACCAATCTCCCATTTAAAGCCTTTTCCTAGCATTACACCCACCCTCTCCGACCCACTACCAACACCCACAATGTCCTTCCACACTCGAGACATATGCATGGAGCTGAAAGAAGTAATATCAACCTCCTTTCGACCCCCATAATACTTTTCCCAGATCACTCTCTTCCATAAACCCCCTACACCATCACCTAACCTAAACCACCACTTACCCAATAAAGCCCAGTTTCTCCTCTTTAAATCATCCACTCCTAAACCCCCTCTCTCTTTTTCCACACAAATATTATCCCAGCTTACCCATGCAATTTTCCTCTCCAAATTTGCTCCACCCCAAAAGAAATCCCTCTGAATCTTAACTAACTCAACAAGAACACATTTTGGAATTTTAAATAACGACAAATAAAAAATAGGAAGAGCAGAAAGTACCGAGTTGAGCAAGGTAATTCGACCTCCAAAGGACAGCAGTGAACATTTCCAGGCGGCAAGCTTATTTCGAAAACGGTCCAGCACAGAAACCCAAAACTTTTTCCTCCCCGGCCTTCCTCCAACTGGCAAGCCAAGGTAAATAAAAGGCATCGCTCCTATCTTACAATGCAGAATATCAGCTGCACCATTTAACCACCCATCTGAAACATTAAACCCGTATAAATGGCTCTTGCAAAAATTAATCTTCAATCCCGAAATTAATTCGAACCAGTGTAGAATAGCCTTCACTGTCCTTAAATTTTCTGC